GTATAAATAGATGTTGGCACGACGCAGCGTGCGACTTCTTTGTTCCGAGTTCTGATCTCTGTACGAGACTTCATAGTTCGAGATGACGTCACTCAGCCATCAGATCTCAGCAAGAGTTGAGTTGCAACATAGCGAGATAAGTCTTTCAAAAGACCGTGTACCGCAAAAATGCAGGGTGACTGTTTGAATACGGAGGCTTGTGCACAAATATTTCTAAGTACATTTTTAGTCACATTTAGTGCAAAATATTATGAAACTTTGTACCAATTGAGTGGTAAACAGGAATAATGAAATTTAGGTATCTTTGAATGCTCTACACCGGGTATTCTCAGACTTTTTTTTTGCATTTGTCTCTTTTGAAAGAACAGTTTTCTTCACTGAACCCCTTACACTTCTCTCCACAGTATACAGCATATAAAATAATCATAATATAAATAATTGGGCGTACATCACTTAATGATATCTATTAGACTAAGAATATGACAATACGTTTTGAAAAAATATCTTATACGACTTAAATTTTATTATTTTCTGTATTTAATTATTATTAATTTAAAAATATAAACAAGTTTGAGACACAAATTACCAATTCTAATTAATCAAAATTTGGATTTTAATCAATGCGATGGCTGCGCTTAGCGTATTGATGGCGTACATAAATGTTCTTAACGAAAGTCTTAAAACAAGTCGAAAACTCAGACATATTCACCCTTAGGATTGAAAGACTCGGCATACCAAGCAAAGCTATGGGTGCTGCAATTAGGTATGCTAATATATATCTGCAGCAGAAATTCTCCATATTCAGTAATTCAGGGTCAAGTCTGGCGGTTTGTTTGTCCTGCGATACATTAGATCTGACAATGCCTGTCTCCCAAAGACTCACTCTAAAACGGGTTCACCCTCATACAGGAATTCAAGGCAATGGAAGTGTTAACCTTCTAGCCAAGCAGGTATCTAATGGCACGGAATTACTAGAAGGACCAATTAAAATTCCTTGGTCTCAGGTTAAAAGAAGAGCTTTGACAAGCTTGCTACGAAATTGGCCAAGTAGATAGTTAGAGGCAGATCTTGGACGAAGCACATTTCGCTTATTACCAAAAGTTAACATGGAAATCAAGACCCACAGTGCCAGCCTAACACAATTCTTTACTGGTCATGGGCCATTCAAACCATACCTCAACAGATTCAGACTTAAGAATACTCCCTTCTGCGAATGCGGAGAGGAAGGTGACACGGAACATTATGACTTCCATTGTGTTAATACAAGAACCAGGCACTTACAGAATTCAGCGGACTGTGTCTGGGTAACGTGAATGGGTAAAAAAAACTCAAAAACAGAGTAGATCTTGGTAAAAAAGATAATATCTCAATAAAGTGTGTAAGTAGAAGCCATTGTATATGATATTGTGCTTGAAATGATCAGAATTTGAAGCAGATAACCAGGATAACGCTTTGAGTCTGCAGATATAAATTTAAATAATAAACAAACTATTGGTAAGCTTATTATAGAATAGTAAAGCTTGTTTTCATTCAGCAAGAAGTATGAATCTGAGCTATTGTTTCGGATACTCAGAAAGATTATTATCATGAACTAATTTTGGATAAGAAAGTCTTTGTAAAATATAGAAGCTGCTAATAGTACATAATATTCATCATTTTAACTTCGGATATTTCCCCGCTGTGGTGGTACACAATTCTATCTGGTTCATAATGTCGGAAGCCATCTTAGCAGAACAATACCGCTAATTCAACACTGTTGGCCTGTAACAACTTTAATTGAGGGATATATCTCGGATGACTTTTAAATTGCAAAAGTTAGCATACCCCTGCATTTCCAATAAGACTTTCTTGTATGATAAAGTTTTATATAGCAAATAATAATTATCAATTTCCTTAATACATCTTTACAATCAATGGAATCTTGATTATGATTATCGATAGCGAAGAACCTTCGTCCATTGACCCCATAACCGCACCTTGAGCATCATAGACCCTCTTTAAGATGTTCCCGAATCCCAAGGAGTCCATATCAATCCCGTTGGGAATACCTATTCTACACAAGTGAAATGCAACATTTTATACGATTTATTAGCAGAATTTTAGTTTTTAGGAATACAGTACCAATTGCATAAATGTAAAAAATAATTTGTTAAACTTCGGTTTGTTTTAAATTTGTTAATCACCTATTTATTTGCTCAATTAATCTTTCAGTCAACAGCTGACAGCCGGTAATTGCATTTTTTAAAACTCAAACATTAAATGCGGTTTCTAGAGAGCACAAAATATTTAGCAACTGCTACCCCAAGTTTGTTCTACAGTTATTTCTAAATACCCGTTTCTGGAGACTTTTCTGACTAATTCTAAAGACAAGCTTGGGTTTAAATTATATCTTTATGTATAAAAAAAAAAAAAAAAAAAAAAAAAAAAAAAAAAAAAAAAAAATAGAGAGAAATTTTTTTTTTTTACTTCTGAGGTTATTCTAAGCAAGTTAAACTAGTTAGAAACTATGGCAATTTCAAAAGAAGAATCTGGAAACATCAAAATCCTCAGTAACGGATCTATTTACGAAGCTAAAAGCAGAAGGGAAACAATTCGTTTTAAGACTCGGCAATCCTCTTAGAATAATTACTTATTTCGATCAACTTATTTCGTCATTGTTCTATTACTTCGAAGCCGTTACGTTTATCACATAACTTATTAAACACATCTGTTCAACACAAGGATAAGTCGATTAAACCACCTCCTTGAAAACATAGTTACCCCCTGTGTAGGAAATTATTACAACATCGACGCAAATATCCTTTTCCCATTCCCGCCTTTCCTCGGATAGAAAATCTGACAGTGTGATACAAAGCAGGCAATAATGAAAATGGCTGTAGTTTATCCAAGAAAAAGGACCCATTGTCCTAGGAAACGCCTCGGCTAGGGATAAGACTGAAGGAACAATTGGATTCGGTTTAAAACGAATGGTCGCATAGAAGAACACACAAGATTTTATTTGTGTCACTGAGTGATTAAAACGGATTTAGTAGTGGCCCCAAAGCAAACTTTTAAGAGAACGAGGGGTGAAGCGATGCATGGGTCGCTTTTGTTTTATGGTCTGTGCAGAAAGGCCTTCAAGAGAGGTGGCGGAGAGGGTACACTCGGAGTTAAAGCAAGAGTGATTGAACTAGCAGGCGCCGATCGCAGAAGAGGTGGGAGGAAAGGATTGAGAGGAAGGGGAATTCGACGAATCTTAATGTTAGCGTTAAAGTGCTTTTAGCGAGTATCAAACTTATTTTATGACTATGCGTTGAAAAACGAAACGCATCCAACACTGCGTTAATTAAGTTTTAGGTCAGGATTCATGGGATTACTCGACTGCGATGGGCAATAGGAGGATACATTTAAATTTTAAATATATCGTTACGTTTGTGAATATATTTGGTTATTCAGGCGAAGCTTTAGTAGTAGTCTGAATGCAATGCATTTGAATTAAAATCCTAGTTCATAAAATTTCCTTTCAGTGAGGCAGCTATTTTCGACTAGCGTAATAATTTTCCACTAGTGTAATAATATAAATGTTCTTGCAGTTAGTCTTGAATTATCGCATTTATTTTTCCATTTATTTTGCTTAGTTTATCTTTAAAAATTCCAATAATCTACAGGGCATAAAAGTGATTTTTTTTTTTAGGAAAGTAAAAAAAAAGATCTGTATATATCATAGCAAGGGTGTATTTAAAGAAGAAAAAGACATTATTGGATGGATGTGCATGTCTGGCATAGATAAGAAGCCGAATTACGTATGAAAGTGTAGTCTAAAATTTACAAATTTTCATTAAGTAATTCTTGTAACGTTAGACAAATTTCTTTATCATAAATAAATCGTATTTTTCCCCTTCATTTAGGATTATGATTTTCAGTTACGTTTTTAACTGTTAATGTTACAAATAATTGCATTGTATTTCACCTTTTTAGTTTTTGTGTTCTGGTATCAACTTGACTTATTATATGACTCTAAATAATTTGGAATAAGTTTCGATTAATAAGCTTCCGATTATTTTAAGATCTTGCATCTGTGTTTAATAAGCCCCACTCATGTTAAAGATATAGAATATTTTAAACAAATGTATATAATGCGTATTTCCAATTTTTATATAAAAATGCTGTACATTTTAAGTACGTAATTAAATCAAGATGTGTTGCAATTTAAATTCTTGCCATAACTTAAGTCTATGTTTGCGTGCGTACGGTTTTCGTAATGGACTGAATGCACACAGAACCGTTGATAGATTGATAAAATTTATTTTATCAAAAGGAACATTTTACAGTTCTGGAAATTTCCACAAAGATACTCTTACAGTTCTTCTTCCACAAAGATACTCTTACAGTTCTTCTTCTACAAAGATACTCTTACAGTCAGTTGTTACACTTCAAACTAGAAAGAACGTTCAAACAGAACACAATGCAATGCGCATCTAAACAGCGAAGCTCACAGAGAGATATCTGAACACCCCGTAGTATACTCTGATCTGAGAAACTGATTCTATCACCTGTCTTGTACAGTTTTCCTCCCAGCCGCCGAGAAATCTCTTAACACCTTACACTTTTAAAAATTACTATAAGACATATGAGAGTTGGATACGAGTGCAGTTACGTATAGGGATCAATAACATTATTATTCAGTTACATTACCCATTACATTTATACAGAAATCGGGTAAAATGTCGCCAAATGGTCGCCAAGTTTAGCGACTTTTGACGATTTCTCTCTTAAGTGGTAAAATTAATCCCTAGAACATGGAATTAACTTTGCAATAAACATATGTATATAAATTAATATAAAGTTAATAAATATAAATCTGAATCTGTATTAATGGTGAATATTCCATACTATCTGTGAACCTAAGGTTAAAAAAAAAGAGAACCGGAAATTTTAACAGCTGTAAGTCAATTATTAATAAATCTCGTGCTAATATATTTAGCTGAAAACAAAAGAGAAAATCATAGGCATATTTTTACCTTAAAACAAGCGAGTCAATCATAACGCAGACAGTCTGTCTTCGCTACCTAACACACAGACGCTAAGCTACTATGACAGAGTAAGGAAGCGGTTTCAAAAGCGATTGCTGTGAAGTGCGCAAAATTCCTGCACTGAGAAAAGGGAATATTTGTATTCCGCTTTCACTTCTAATTGTAAATGCTTGTAGGTTTTGCTGTGTGGATTTATACTTGTATTAGTGTCATTGCGCTATTTTATATAAGATTTAATTTTATGATTTTTTTCAATTAAGTGAATGGAGGCGGCATTTACATAAAGCTACTATTTTATTATAATTTTTGTAATGAAGCAAGATGTTAAAACAAGGTTAGTTTTGTTAATTTAAATTAAATAATTACTATTTGCAATTACCATAAAAAGTCTTTTTGTATACAGTGCGGACATTGCTAGGTACAGTGTCTTTCTGTCACGTGCAGTGAGTTTAAGCTATTTAGATCAACAAATAGTAAACTTTAAATATTAACCTTCCTAGTGGCCGAGACCCTGAACTAAAAACTCTTCATCTCAAGTCTTGAAAAGAAACCAAATTCTACTATTTCTTCTGCCCATTCTGCATCCAGATTAACGCTAAAAGCGGCAGACGTTTCGCTGTCTTTAGTTGCTTTCCCCCCACTCAAATGACCGTCGTTCAGCGGGGGCGTGTTGACGTGTCCATGTCCTTTTGTCCAGCAGGCTCTCGTTATGGCAAGAAAGATAATTGAATGTACACCAGATTTTAGTGGTTATCGCCGTGTTGGCTGCGTAACTAAGCAGATTTTAAACAGCGTACGTACTTTATGAATATGTGTTTGAAATTGATATTGCTTTGAGTTTTTAGTTTTTTATTTGGAAAAATATTTACTTTTATTTCTCCGTGTTTTACTAAAATATTTCACAAAATCTGCATAAAAATTGTAGTCATTCCTCACGCAAAAATTTATAGATTTTGAATTTGATTAGAAAATTACGTTTTGATTCCACCATAACTTTGTACCATTACTCATTTGTATTATGTACGTATTACTCATTTGTATTACATAGAAGAAGAAGAATAGAACTAATAATTAGGCCCAGAGAAAAGATACGGTCATCAAAATTTTCTACTCATCGCATTATACAAATAAAAACGTACATAATTTATGTACTAAATAAAATGCATTACGTTAGCATATAGTTTAATAAACTACTAATTTTACTTATTTTATCTTTTAATTACTTCAATTTATATTCTAATCAATAATCTTTTCTGAATGACGTTAACGTGAATGAATACTTTCCAACGACATTGACTTGAATTATTACTAAATCTATTTGAGATGAATTTGAATTTCAAAAATGTTTCTTTACAGGGTAACTTTGAACGTTGATCACAACGAATTTATATGATAGAATATTAAATTAAAATTTTTCCTATACCATTCAGTTTTTTCAAGTTCTGCATTTTTCTTTTTTTCCTAATTTTTCTAAAAATCTTAACTTTAATTCTCAGCTTCCTATTCATCGTTATTATAAATACTTTTTTTAGATAAAAATAAAATATTCTTTGCTACATTAAGATCCTCAATACCTTCCCCCCGTCGCTGAAGAGATTTGCGGAAAGAAAACCGTGTCATGAAGTACAGTGCAATGATAAAAGATCGTCTAAAGAGAAAAGCCGGCACATAAATGAACTCTTTTCAGATAAACTATATTACTATCTAGATTTTTGAATGATTTTATTTATTAAAAATTCCTTTTCCATATTAAAAGTTTATAATGATGATTTTAAATCATGTACTGAAAAATGATAAATTACTTGAAATTTTTCTAAATTCGTACATGCGCACAGAAAACTTCCAAAATATATATTTTTTTTTTCTTTTTTTCAGTTTCTTTTATTAATGCTTTAAGTATTTCTAACTTTAAATGAAAATTAAGACTAAAACTATCGTGCGAATAAACGTAGAACTGAGATGAATTTTGCCTAATTTAGTACACTGAAAAAATCTAAAATTCAGTTTTAAGATGCTGTATTTTCAAAGTTAAAACTGTTTTTAAAAATTTCCTTAAAGAAGCGTCTTTTTTTTTTTTTTTTTTTTTTTTTTTTTTTTTTTTTTGTTATAAATTCTAGAACACATTCTTGAACGGAAATATAGTTTCAGAATTAAATTAAAATGCCTTGAAATAAGTGTGTCTTGAATCGTGTTAGATAAAATTATATGACATTAAATAATAAATGATTTTTTTCTCTGTACAGTGTTAAAGCTGATTCTTTCCCGTTCTTAAAGTTGTCTCTGCTACTCCTAGGCTCCAAGACATCCGTAAATAATTAGAGAAGAGGAATCTGTAGCTGACTTAGATAAATCATAGAGTGAATGTCAGTTCGGGGTTTACTTCGCTGTTATTCGTCGGTTCTTGTATTAGGCATAAATTTCAAGAGTTAGAAGGGAAAGGTTCGGCGTTACCTTCACAGGTAGTTTGCAGGGATTTGTTTTGTCAATAAGATTAAAACAATCACGACGTGGACGAATCCAATTTAAAATTTAGAGGAGTGCGTCCTCTGAACGCATTGAGGAAGGGGAAAGTTACAGGAATATTTTTTTAATTTACGGAGCCTGCAGCTAAAAAGATAGTGGGAAAAATACGTGAGGATATAATACACTATCGATTTCTAGAGCAATCTTGGACAGGAACACATGAACACAATGTTCACAATGAAACCTCAGTCACAATGAAAAAGACAGAATGGGAAAGAAGAAAAGGCAGGGACAACCCAAGGTCCGTAGAAAGAACTCTACGGACCTTGGGGACAACCTACTGCAGGGTTGTCCCTGCCTTTTCTTCTTCCCCCCCCCCCGCCCCCGCCGCATTCAAACAATTTTGACTTGGCCCTGTATCCAAAAGGAAAGATGCAGACGATATATATCTTTGATTTTCAGAATCGTGAGAAAGTATCTGTCATTTCATTTGAAGATTTTTTTCAAGCTTTCATTCCTGTTTCAAGTTAGAATTACGTTTCAAGAATAAAACTACAGTTTGTTGCAACAATGTTTAGAAACAAAACAAAAAACTAAAAACAAAACATACAAAAAAAGGATAGTAAAGATTTTTTAACACTGTATGAGAAGTGAAACTCTTACGTTATTCCCTAAATTCTCTCAAAGGTTAATCTAACGAATAATCCTTAACAATTTAAAGAATAATGTCTAAGTCTTTCACTAATATTCTTTTTAGTCCAAAGCAGGACCAGATTACCAATTAGGCACAGTAGGCACGTGCCTAGGGCCTACGAAGGCCAAAGGGCCTACGAAGGCCAAAGGTCTTAGGGCTTTGAAAAAAAATATATTGAAATAAAAATACCCCAAAAACTTATAAACATTTTTATATTATTATATAGTGAAGGTCAAAATAATATATGTAAATACAAATACACAAAAAATACGAATACAAAACGTTTGGTTTTACTAAGTAGATCCTAAAATAAACTCCTTTTTTTCGGGATTTTGACACAGCGAATTCGTGTATTATATCTTCAAAATTAATGCCGCGAGCGACATCACTTTCAATACACAGAAGGCCCAGTGACGAAGTTCTCTCTGGACCCATAGTTGAACGCATAAAATTTTTTATAAGCTTCAACTTGGAGAATGATCTTTCTCCTTCTGCATTCGAACCCAATATCGAAAGGTATATGCGCAATGCAATATTAACATTTGGGAAACTTGACACAAGTTTATCCTTTATTTGTAATTTGATGAGATCCGTTATAGAGGTGGTTTTGGGGTACAAATTTGAAAAATCAAATACTCATCAACAAAGTTTTCCTATAAGTCAGACGGATACATTTTTACCAGAGCTTGAGCCTTAACCTTGATAATATCCTCGGTCAGTGTATTATCCGTAAGAAAACTAAATGTGTCATAAAGGCTGGTATACGCAGTGCGTCTCTTTGTCATTTCAGCGCAAAGCACATCCAGAACAATAAAAAAAAACATTAATCTTAAAGGAATCTTTGGCACTGCGAGAGGGAGTCTCATCTGGCCCTTCATCGAACTGTCGTTTTCTCTTACGAACTCTAGTTTCGGATTCTTTAAATTCTGAATCTGGTGCAAGGGCTTTTGCCTTAAGATAATAGCTATTATACATGTCCTCAGTTCTGCAGTGAGATAAATATTGAATTAAACTGTCGTAAAGTCGCACCATCGTGTTAAACTCGATGCCAGGTTCTTGAAGAGATTTATTTACAATATCGACGTGTTTTAGTAGATCTTCCCAAATAACTGTGAGTAATACCATCTCCAAAGTATTCATTTGATGGATTAAGGTTTGTGCCTCAATCACTGTTGTAGGTTTCATACCTTCACTAGTTGAAATATTTGTAAGAATACCACGTATATCATCATAATGGGCACATAATGTTTTTACAGCCTCATAACGTGCTGACCATCTGGTCTCTGAAAGTCTTTTTACAGAAATTTTACTTCCCAAAGACCTTAGTTTAGACCATCTTTGAGGGGACGCTGCAAAGAAATTGTAGAGCGATTGCAAAATTTCAAAAAATTTTACAGCTTCTAAGCAGCTTTCTGCCGCCGCTGTGCCAACTAGATTAAGACTATGAGCTCCACATGGTACCCAAGTGGCTGCGCTGTTGATTTCCCTAAATCTAGTTTGTACTCCCGAATACACTCCGCTCATATTAGCCGCATTGTCATAAGACTGACATCTGCAAAATTTTGGGTCTATTCCCTGATTTTCTAAAACTGAAATTAGAGTGTCAAAAAAGATACTTGGCATCATGTTTTTCTATTTTAACAAACATCAAAAATCTTTCATATATATCTCCAGTTTTTGAGACATATCTAATAACTATGGAGAGTTGATCCGTATGGCTAACGTCAGGTGTAGAATCCACAGTGATTCCATAATACTTGGCTTCTTTGATTTCTGTAACTATTTTTTCCAATACTTTTGACCCCAGTAAAATTATTAGTTCTTCATACGTTGTGGAGGATAAATATGATACTTTTCCGCGGCCTGGATTACCGTATCTTCTTACATGTTCTTCTAGAAACGGATCAAATTTGGCTAAGAGATCGATACACCCAAGAAAATTGCCATTACTAGGATCACCATGTATTTCATTATCGCCTCTAAACGCTAGTCCCCTTTCGGCCAAAAACTTAATTACTTCCACTACTCTTCTTAAAACCGTTGTCCAATATGTGCTTTCTTTTTCCTTGACAATATCAAACGTCTCATCAATTTTTCTAGTTTGTTGGTAGTTCACTAAAGCAGAAATAGATGCAAAATGTTCTTTTGACACTTCATGACTTGAAATTCTCGAATGTGCGTTTTTTCCAGTCATTAAAGCCTGTAAGGAATTGGTTACACAGGTTTGGATTTCCAGGTAGGTCCGATTTGAACAAAATACATTTATAACAAAAAAACTTGCCAGTAGATTCGGAAAATATCAACCAGTCCCTTTTTATAATATCATTGTTGTTCAGTTTTCTGAAAAAATAATCTTGTGATGGACATCTCATTATTTCGCCAAATTTAGTGGCGTATAACTTAAAATTTATATCCAATTTCTGCACAGGGTGATTACGAGAGAAGTAATCGATAAGATCTGCGCTTATGGTTGTCCACCGTGCTGGATCAGAACTGAAAATACTTGAGGCTGATGTTGTTGGTAGTGATTCAGGCACCACCTGCTTGGAAGCGTCGTTAAAATTTCGTAAACCCCCGTCAGCCTCGTCTTCTGTGACATTCTCAGTTTTATTGGTTGAACATTCTTGCGAGTCCCAACAAGCCTCAGCTTCTTTAGGTCTAACCTCGATCGAGGAAATATCTACCGCATCTGCATTATCTTCTGTCTCCTTAGAAATGTTAACATATTTCAATAAAGAACCTTTAATTTTACTAAGCGACTCACTCACTTTCTCTTTCTTTTTGCGTTTTTCATGTCCACTTTGGTGTTTTCTTTTATATCCATCAGACATTTTTCGCTAAAAAAAAAATATTTAAAAAAAGCTTTTATAAATTGCGCTTAAAAGTTTAAAATAATTTTTTAACTTTCTGATATACCATAATAAAAGCGATGGGCACGCACAAACTAAAATTTAAACTTGTTTTCTCCTTCTTCTCGTCACCTTTAAATATACATTTTAGTTTGCGCCCGTCGCTTTTATTATGCTATCAGAAAGCTAAAAAGTTATTTTAAATTTGTTAAGTAATGCATTTTAAACTTGTAAAAACGAAACCCGGATTTACGAGTATGGATTAAAATTAAGCTATTCCAAAGGTGATTTGGACTGTACTATTTCTACGACTACTACTGGAGATTTTTTACAATAGTATGGCCAAACCACCCCATAGTAGGCCTACTCAAAGTTCCTTGCATTGTGCTGCATTCTACGGCGGACTATTATACTAATAAGAAGTGATAAAATGAAAATTCTATTATTTATAATGGAATGAAGCAATATTCCAGAATCAAAAACTAGGTTGAAATAAGTAGAGTATAAAAACAACTTTCCTTTACTTACCTTACTTATAATAAATTTAACTTCCAGTTTTTAAACTAAAGATTGACTTGGGGTTGAGCGTGATTAAATACAAGCACAGGCATACACGCTCTATCGTAGTGTTTACATATTAACTTATTACACAACTGAGCTACTAAAACAAAAGACCTTAGCAGCAGGGAAAACCTCTCGATCGCGCGCAAGCGTTTGGTAGTGGGCATGGAAACGTGGCCAACTGTGTCAAACGCATGTGCCCGTCCGAGAGGTTTTCCCGGCGGCTAATGTCTTGTCATGTTCATGTACTAAAACCCTGGAATTCTGCATGGAATTTGGTAGATATAAAAGTTGCATTGTTGCAGATAAACTCAATTCTGGAATTATGGCTATTGAAAATGGCTCTATGAAAAATAAAAACATTAAAATCCCAAAATAAAATAATGTTATTTTACCGCATCATCACATTTTCGGATTTATATCTACAACAAAATTATTACTTAATATTAGCGGTCAATTTCAGTTAAAAAATGTTTATTATTTCGGGGCCTACGCTGCTGGAGTGCCTAGGCCTAGCCTTATCGGCCTGGCCAAAGGGGTTTCCTTGAGCATGTTTCGTTTGGATTGCGTTTTCTATAATTCTTCAATTTTCAAACTGTTGCCACCCAATGTTAAGTGTCCTGCATTATATTTGAAGAAATTAAATGATGAAAAATCTGCATAAATGTATGTATATTTCTCGCATTGGTACATACAGCCATCGAATTTTGAATGATGTAATCCTACTGCGGATATGGGTATGTGGAAGCCCAAATTTGAAATTTGGAATTTGTTTTGTGATCGATTTGATATTTTGTAAAACGAACGAATTTTTGAGTAACAAACTAAACGATTTAAAGGCGAGCAATGGCAATGTTGTACAGAAAAAAACCTTTTTATCTCCAGCGCGCGGAACTGTGTATCGGAAATTCTAAAGATATGCTCAATTTAAAACTACTTTGCGATATTGCTCTTGAACTGTATTTTATGGTTTAAGTGCAAAGAACGTGATATTTAATAAATAAAGGTAACACACAAAATGTTAAAAAAGTCCCTTTGGACGTAATTTAAAATCTGAAACTTTTCAGATTTTTCTTTTATTCTGCAAATGTAAATAACTTGGATAAATAATAATTTTAAAAAAAAATAAAAAAAAAAAAAAAATCATTTTGTGTAGTTTCATTTTATCCCAAAGGGCATTAGCCCAGAAAGGATATTAATTTCGTTTTGGCATTTTGCGTCCATTCACTTTTCTGGAAGCCCTAATTTGGAATTTGGTTTACTATCTATTTCATATTTTGTCAGACATTAAAGAATTTTTGATTAACAAACTCAACAAATTCAAAGCGAGAAATGACAACATTGTAAGGGATTTAAAAAAAAAAAAAAAAAGTACCTCCAGCGCGCGAGACTCTGAATCGGAAATTCTAAAGATCTCTTTATTTTTAAATTATTTTGCGATATTGCTGTTGAATTGAATTTTATGGTTTAAGTGCGAAGAGCATGACATTTAATAAATAAAGGTAACGCACAAAACGTTTAAAAAAAACGCGCCTTATT